TAGTAACAGGTTAAATACATCAAAAACACAGACGTGTAACCAGAATTTAAAAGGCAAGCTTGTCTATGGTTTTTCCCACCTGTCAAGTTACCTCATTGAGGCTGCATATTGTATTAACAAACCAATAGGGAAAAGAAGAGGTGCCAAGCTTGAAAGCAGAAAATGTTAAGATTTACATGTAATCTCAACTGCCTTTAGCTCCATATCTACTCATTATTGGATCATGTACTTTTTATGTAAAGACCAACGCCAGGCCAAATTTTTTTCACCCAAACTTGCCTCCAGCCAAAATGAAAAGCTCACCTTCAGCCTGGGTTCACATATATGCGGTGCGGTATATCGCATGTGATTCACACAGGAACCGCACCGCATTCCTGCACAAATCATATGCGATTTGTGTGTGGTGCGATTGGAGCCATACATTTGTGCACCAAAAATATGCAGGACCCTTTTTTTGGTCCGCACTAGAATCGGATCGCATAGGCATTCACACCTATGCGATCTGATTCTGCACATCGCACCGTGTTTTGCAGACCGCTTTCAGGGTGTTTTAACTTAACATAAACACCCGCAGCAAATCACATGAACGGGGTGCAATTCTGATGCGGTGCAGAATTCACACAGAAAACGCTGCAAATTCCACACTGCATGAACCAGGGCTTAATCCAAAACTGTTCCCTGTAGTGCCTCTTTATTGCCACGATTTCCATCCCAGAAGAATGAGAACAAAGTGTGAGTGCTGGGCATCAAGCGGCCCACCCCTGATTCGGCATCGCCACATTCACTGGTAATAGAGAGACGTCATCACCGCTCTCTGCATCATTGAAGACCACCAAATTCAGAGAAAAGGTGAAAAAGAAGGCGGTTTTGCAGCAACACATGACTGACCTGAAGACTTTAGAAAAGGTAAGTATAAAAAAAGGTGGAGGAGATGTTGATTTGGGGGAAAGTTCAGAGCTTGGAGTTGGTCTTTACAGTAACCTTTTTTTAGGCATTTTTTTCCCAATATGCTTGGTTTGACTTGGTCAGATTTATGACAGGTTTCCTTTAAGCTGCACAACCCACATGGAAGAAAAATATATTTGAAATGTATTTTAAAAATATTCTTCCCAAATATATTGCCATATATTTGAAATGCTACAAAATATATTTCAATGTATATATATGTATGTGTGTAGATATATATCTATATATATACACATATACATATACACTGCATGTTGAACTGCGTTTTTATTACAAAATATATGAAAAATATTTTTAAAAATGCATTTCAAATATACTGTATGTCTTTAACAATACAAATCTACATTTCTGCAATGCATTTACAAATATTTGTAAAAATATATCTTAAAACGACTTTTTTATATGTTACAAAAATCTGAATATATTTTTAAAAATATATTTTTAAAAATATATTTTTTTTTAAAATATATTCTTCACATTTTTTTAACATATAAAAAAAAGTCATTTTAACATATATTTTTACATATATTTGTATATGCATTCCAAAAATGTAGATTTGTATTCTTAAAGACATATAGTATATTTGAAATGTATTTTTAAAAATATCTTTCATATATTTTGTAATAAAAACACATTTCAACATGCAGTATATACATATATATATATATATTTTTTTTTTTTTTTTTGTAGCATTTTAAATATATGGCAATATATTTGGGAAGAATATTAGTATATATATATATATATATATATATATATATATATATATATATATTGAAATATATTTTGAACTATATTGAATATGACCAAAATTGTAGCATTTCAAATATATGGCAATATATTTGCGAAGAATATTTTTAAAATATATTTCAAATATATTTTTCTTCCATATGGGAAATATCAGTATAATAAAGGGCAACTGTACTTTCTGAGAATCATCAGTTACCTTTTTGGCCTATCTACTACATAAATGAACCCCCTGTCTCAGATGCATACTTATCTAAATCAGATTGCCTCAAACCGTAGCAATCTTTAGAACCTCCAGCCAAAATCTTCATTTCCCTGGTTGTACTTGTGCAGTATGTCCTTATCCCACTCCCAAGAATCTCCTGTATCAGGAGATAATCCTCTAGAAGTCTTTGGGGTTCAGCTGCGCAGATGTCTCCAATGGAAAGATGGTTTTGGAGACTTTTCTAATTTTTGTAGGCCTTAGGCATCCGATTCAGGATGTATATTATGGACGAGCACAGTTAACCTAGTGTTTGTTGCATACATTGTACAAATACAATGTTTTCATCTGCCCCACATTAGCCTAATAGTCTTTACATTTCTCAATAATATATCCTTAAAAAAGGTTTACTGCAATGGTTACAAAGAATGCAACACTGAGCTTTCTGCCTAGGAGTCTCAGAACAAAAACATTGTTTGAAGGTTTTAATATTGTTTTGTAAAGCAGTATAATTACTCCTATTTCCATTTTACCTGCAAGATAATGATAAAAAAAAGAATCAAATTAATGTCTGTCTGCTTGTTTTGCAGAATATTCAAGAGAGTAAATATAGGTTGCTGTGATCATGTGCAAACTAAAAAAGTGCCATTCCTCATATTTCAAAATATTAATGTATAATCATTCTATGCAGAAATCCAATTATTTTTGTTTGTTAGTAGGTTATTTATTTCATTACAAAGAAATGAACATTGTAATGTATTGTGATAAATTAAATTTTATTGAAATGTGGCATAAGTAAATATGAGTGTTGCTGTTTTTGATCATTTACACTGGATTAGCCTGAACTGTATAAAAGGTAAAAATTAAAATCAAAATATATTTAAACCCAAGAACAAAAATGTAACATATTGCAACTTACCAGTTCTTAGATGTGGTGGTTGCATTATTTGTCTTTTTTCAGACTAAATACATTTTCTGCAGATATGATGTTGATCCTGAAAAAAATTAAGTGTACTTCCCATGCAGTGAACTGAAATCTCAACCTTATCAGACTTTTCAGTTCTCTTCTGTGAACTACAGAATGTATCCCCACTATGTTATGGAGAAGGGTAAGGAGGGGGGGGGGTCTGTAATCCAATTCAGGAAAGGAGCTTAACCACTTGCCTACCGAGCACTTATACCCCCTTCTTGCCCAGGCCAATTTTCAGCTTTCAGCGCTCTTGCACTTTGAATGACAATTGCAACATTGTACCCATATGAAATTTTTATAATTTTTTTTAGACAGAGCTTTCTTTTGGTGGTATTTAATCACCTCTGGGTTTTTTATTTTTTGCTAAACAAACCAAAAACAACTGAAAATTTTGAAAAAAAAAAAAGTTTTTTTTTAGTTTCTGTTATAAAATTTTGTAAACAAGTGATTTTTCCCCTTCACTGATGTGCGCTAATGAGGCTGCAGTGATGGGCACTGATAGGCTGCACTGATGGACACTGATAGGCGGCACTGATGAGGAGGCACTGGTAGGTGGCACTGATGGGCATTGAAAGGCATCACTGATGGGCATTGAAAGGCAGCACTCATATATGTCACTGATAGGTGGAACTGATAGGTGGCACTGACTGGCACTGATAGGCAACACTGACTGGCACTGTTAGGTGGCACTGACTGGCACTGTTAGGCGGCACTGATAGGCAGCACTGACGGGCACTGATAGGCAGCACTGATAGGCGACACTGATAGGCAGCACTGACTGGCACTGATTGGCAGCACTGATAGGCGGCACTGACTGGCATTGATAGGTGGCACTGAAAGGCAGCTCTGATGGGCACTGATATGTGGCATTGATGGGCACTGGTAGGCACTGATATGTGGCATTGATGTGGCAATGATGGGCACTGGCAGGTGGCACTGATGGGCACTGGCAGGTGGCTTTGATGGGCACTGACAGGTGGCACTGCTGGGGCTACACTGATCATCAGAGCCCATTGATCATCAGTACCCTGATGATCAGTGTACATGTCCCCTCTGAGGGATACCGATTATTGGCTCTCCTCTCTTCTCGAGCTGTCAGCGTGACAGCTCGTGAGGAGAGAAATGCTGATAACCGACATTTCCTTGTTTACATGCAATCAGCTGTGATTGGACACAGCTGATCACATGACAGAGCCAACGTCTTCAGCTTTTTCCGTTGATCGGTGATCCACTGTGTCCCAGGGACACAGCGCACAACCGATTGTTGCGCTGCGAGCCCCCGGGGGCGCGCATGTGCGGTTATAGTGGGAGGACATCATATGACATCCTCCCAGAACGAGAGAACCGCCTTGCACCAGTCATTTCTTTATATGGCGGGCGGGAGGCGGTTAAAGTAGCAATGCTATTTCTCCTTAGATATAGTACAGTGAGTGGGCTTCATCACCATAGGACAGTAAGTAATATGCTACAACAAGGATTACCATGTAAAAATAAAGCTTTAAAAAAAGAAAACTAATACAATATATTAAATACTTGTTATTGAGTTTAATTACGCTTTAAAATACTAGTTTTCGGCTTCCATAGTAAAAAAAACATTGGTAATACTATATGAGTAATACTACCAGGAGCAATTCTTGCTGCTTGCCTTTACTATTCTTTGCCTTCTGCCATATGGTCAGTAAGGTAAGAATAATGTGGCCTTACATTAAATAAATGACTGTACTATATGATTAAATGTACATTTTCCTTGGTGGTGGTGCTTTAGATCTTCAAAGTCCACCATCCCTTTTGGTTTTCTCCCATGTAGTATAATTTGAAAAAAAAAGAGCACTTTCACTCCTCTGAGGCAAGTATAAATGGGAGACACTTCAGTACAACATCATTGACACAGTCAACTTTCCTTATAAAAAAAAAATCAAGTACCTTCAGGAACTCTCATATGAACTGAGGTTTAATTTTGCCTTTATCTCCATCAGTCATACCTTTTCATTGCACAACACCATTAAAATATAACTAAAGACAAAACCTTTTTTTGTTAGTTTTGGACAGAGTGAAGGGAGTTTAGAACACCTGTTAGGTTTTAATTGCTGTCTGTGCTCCCATTGGGGGATTTACCTTCTCTGTTTGCCCTGTGAACGCAAATTGAGTGAGTTGTCACCAGGACAAGAATGTCCAATGTCCGTTAGTTCTGGTGACCCTGGTGACAACCAGGGATTATTTCACTTTGGAGAGATTTCCACATACTTCCTGTTTTGGATATGGAACATGAAGAGAACCGAAATCTCCTCAATGGGGCACAGATGGCAAAACAATTGACAGGGATTTTAACCCTTCCTTAGTCTACTCAAAATGCAAGAAAAGATTTTGGCTTTAGTTCTGCTTTTGTTGGAATATGCACCATGCATGCTGCAATCGATATTATATTACAATGCCAAGCACAGAAAATGCATATGTAGCACTCTCCTAGTTTAGCTAGGGGTAGCTAGACCCGAATGGCTAGAGAGGAGCTGATTAGCAGCTCAGGTGAGAAAGTCAGAGGGGTTAAACTCTGGTCAGGACCTAGAGACTCTGCAGGCCAGCCCCTCTGGAATTTCCCCTGCTCTGAAGCTTTCAGAGGAGGGCCTTTGAAGCAGTGAGTGGTTCTGAGGAGTGGTTGGCTGCACTTTTGAGGGACCTCAGCCAATCCCCAACAGGAGGCTTGGTAAGGGGCTGGACTCCCTTAAATTGCTGGAGCCTGCTCAGTAGGAGGAGTGTGATGGCGGGAGAGAGGAGTTCGAAGCAGGAAAATGCGAGGCTGTAGCAAGCAGGCTAAAAGGAGGCCTAGTGGGATGGGGCCTGCCTGCAAACCTGGAGCTGGAAAGGAGGAAAACTCAGGACACACTTTCCCCCTGAGAGAGAATCACCTGTATGGCAGGAAAGGAGCAGCCTAGCTGATAGGCCTGGTAGCAGCAGCCATTCCGCAAGAAGTACAGGAGAGGACCTGAGTGAGTACATCTACACCTTCTGGGAGGATAGAGGAAGAAGCACCTTATTTAAGAGAACAGGAGCCAGATCCCCTGCTCAGCAAGAAGACCTTCAGATTGCTGGGTGAAGAGGAGCTCATCTAGAGTCTGGGGTAGTACAACTGGAGCTGCTGGCTAGCACTCAGAAACTGTGTTTCAGAGAGAAGAAGCTGTGAATAGTTCAGGAAGTTATCCTCAGATTTCAGTTCCCTTGGGCATCCTATGCACCCCTAAACCCTATCCAAGTTTAGATACTTAAACATCATTTGTATGAAATCTTCATACTCTTTATTGACAAATCACATAGCTACAACAAATAATATGATTTCTAAAATATGATACCAAATAAGTATCGCAATTTACAACAACAAAAAATTGCACCTCAATATTTATGTCATTTGAAATCCTACCATATAACCTGATTGGTACCAAAAATGGATCACCGATGGTTAGGATGATCTTGTAGTTGATTGAACGCGGCTATATTGCCATAGTACAAAGCTAATACAACCTTAATTGATCAGTGGTTCTACATGTTTCGCGACTCTCAGTCGCTTCTTCAGGAGCTATGGAAAGGTGCATCTACAATAAAACAAAATTTGATTGTTGACCTGTAAATGCAGATATATGTAATCAAAAACCACAAAACCAGAAAGATAAAGGATAATAAACTTCTCTACATACAAAAACATAATTTGGACAGATAGCCACTTACAATTACAGGCATACCTCGGTTTACGAACGTCACGGTTAATGTAATTTTCGGTTTACGAATAAAAATCCATTGAAAATAATGCCTCGGTTTACAAATTTTTTTTCGCAATATGAAGCAAGTTTCCCCCGGAGGCAGTGCACCTGGGAGGTTTATAGCGCCAGCCCCGTGCCTCTGAAGTGCACTTTCCAAAGAGTTTTGAACAGATAAGACTTTTTATTTTACTTTTTTCTGACCTCCGGAACAGATTAATTGGTTTTCAATGCATTTACAAATTTTTTTCGCAATACGAAGCAAGTTTCCCCTGGATATATTGTGCCTGGGAGGTTTATAGTGCTGGCCCCATGCATGCTGGAGTCTGTGGCGTCGAGTATGGAGGTGTTGGAGCTGTTTTTGCATCGAGTTTTGGAGCCATTCTGGAAATTTTTAATCATGTCCCTGTACAGTATTTATGCCTCTAAAGTGCACTTTATAAAGAGTTTTGAACAGATAAAATACTTTTTTTAACTTTTTCTGACCTCTGGAACGGATTAGTTGGTTTTCAATGCATTCCTATGGGAAACCACGTTTTGTTGCAATACGAAATGTCCTGGAGAACACATTCAATTCATAAACCGAGGTGCGCCTGTATTGCCAAAAAAAACACATGTTTTTCTAGTTAGTCCTCAGAGGAAACATATTGCATCAGAGTGGGTGTCCAGACGTGAAGGCGCATCAGGGAAGCAGGGACAACATCATGTAATAATATTGGGTAAGTATTAGAAAAGCGCCACACCCATTAATAATTAATTATCTATATAGCAGCAACTCCAAATCTCCAGATATTTGGCATAAAATTAAATAAACATAGGAATGCGCTAATTCACCAGAGCTACATGCCGATCAAATTATAGACCAGCATAAGCGCTATTGCTCCGGGAGTGATGAATGAAGCAATTTCCAGACTATTTAGTGCAATGCTCTGCAGTAGTAACTTTCCAGGTATTTGAGAAACACCCCTCTGTAGTATAGGCAGATTCCAAGCTTTAAGGAGAAATACTCTGCAGCCACTCTTCATAGATGAATAATTTCCATATATCACCATATCTCCATACCTATTGGGACCACACTCAGGGACAAAGAAAAGGCATGATGGTGCAACATGTTTAAAACAGTATTTGTTTAATAAAAAATCATAACACTCACAAAAAAAGTGTCCAGACCGACACCAGTATCAATATCGCAGACAATGAACGAGCTCTGCTCACCGCGGTACACCTCCGGCAATCACAGGGAGCGCGCTGACATCAACATCCAACTGGCCTGGCGGTCTATAATTTGGCATGTAGCTCTGGTGAGTTTATTTAATTTATTCGGTGGTGGATTGATCACGGTGTTATGATTTTTCACATGATGATTTTGGAATATGTTTGGACTTTCACATATTGATTTATGGACACTATAATTGTTTGGTTTATTTACAATTATTAGCGCATTCCTATGTTCATGTAATAATATTACAGTCTGTTGAAAACAAATATATGTGTTTTTCTGGCAATAATTGGTAAGTGGATATCTGTCCAATTTATATTTTTTGTATGTAGAGAAGTTTATTTTCTTTTTGATTTTGTGGTTTTTGATTACATTTCTGCATATGCAGGTCAACAATCAAATTTTGTTTTACTGTAGATGCACCTTTCCATAGCTTCTGAAGAAGCGTCTGAGAGTCACGAAACATGTAGAGCCACTGTTCAATTGAGATTGTACTTGCTCTGTACTAAGACAATATACCCGCGTTCAATCAACTACAAGATCATCCTAACCATTGGTGATCCAATTTTGGTACCAATCAGGTTATATCGTCATTTAGGAGCAGCAGGATTTCAAATGATATAAATATTGAGGTGCAATTTTTTGCTGTTGTAAATTGCAATACTTATTTGCTATCATATTTTAGAAATCATTGTTATTTGTTGTAACTATGTGATTTGTCAATAAAGAGTATGAAGATTTTATACAAAAAATAATGTTTAAGTACCTATAAAGTCCATTTAGTTGTAATCACATTTTTGTTAGTCTTCTTAGGATGTGGTACAATGTATGAGCTTTTATCCATAGTACCACCCTATGGATACACCCTTATTCTGTCTGTGGATGAAAACTTGTGTGGAAAATGCTAACTGACTGGCTTTGCAGGACTATAGGGGGACCCAAATTCATCAGCAACCACTAATGGGATAGTGCTACACATAAAAGTGAGTCTAATCATGCTCCAAGGTGGCTCACCTTAAAGCGGAGTTTCACTCACCCTATGAAAAAATAAAAGTCAGCAGCTACAAAAACTGTAGCTGCTGACTTTTAAAAAAACAGCCACTTACCTGTCCCTCGTTCCCATGATGTGTCCCTGCAGCCTGTTTCACTGGCTGTCCTGTATTCCAGGAGGCCAACATCTTCAGTGTAGACACTCGGCTGTGATAGCTTGCGGCTCCACAGCCGGGTATCCACTGCGCATGATCGAGTAGCGCTGCACTCATGAATGGTCCTGTAGTCTTCTGGGACCTGTCACGTGTCCCAAAAGACTACAGGGAAAGAGGTAGGGAGGACACCTTCCACTTCTGATCACCTAGGTGATCGGACTGAAAGTGGGAGCGAGTACCTGTCAAATTCGGGTACCCGCTCCGCCCCTGCTCCCCAAAGGTGCCAATCCTTAATGGAGAGCGGGGCAGCAGTCTTTAAAGTGGAACTTCCCCTTTTGGGTGGAGCTCCGCTTTAAAGGCATTGTACACCTCAAAATGTTTTTGTTGTGTTAAATATGTATTTGTATACTTAAATTCCCCGTGTCATGTGTTTGCCCTACTTTGTAATGATGGGCTCATATGTTGTGGCTGCAGATTGTAGTGTTATGGCTGATTGATTCCCCTATGTCCATGTATTCATTCACCTAGCTTGTTCCTATTCACCAAAAGAACAGGCAACTTCTTTTTTATGGTCATATAGTGAATGCCTTGCTATTTCTCTGTGTATCACAAATGTGAGTGCTAATGATAAGAAACTGAACTCTCTGTTAATTGATCTGCCTGGTTGTATCTGTATCAGATGTGATTACAGGTTAGCTCTCACCTGTACAAGTAAATTCTTCAAAGGAAGTGTCAGTTCTCACACTAGGTGACAGAGGTCATGCATTAACCTGTGCAGTGCCATCTCACTTGCCTCATGTTTGAACACAAGCAGGAACTTCGGACACAGGAATGTGAAGATTTGCTCTAGGGCAACTGGGCATACAGGGCAACTAATGACACCATGAAACTACATGATCAATACACATCTTATGCAGCTAAAAAACACAAGGTGCAGGAAAGAAGATTTAAAATGCCTTTAAGCTCCAATCATTTTATACTCTAGGATCTAACTGTAACTGGCTCAAGTCCAGTCCAATTAGGCACTGAAACCAAGGGCTTATGTATACAAACTCTTGTTATATAGCTTTGGCAGGATCTTCATCCTCAAGGACTGAATAGACAGGTTACCTCACATGATAACAACTGCAACAGATAGAAGCACATCTTTAAATGTATGCTTCACACTGAAAATGGGAACTG